CACTCAGACGGGCGAAGCAGCGGGACTCTGTGTGACCAGGTGTCCCGCAAGGCTGACCAGTTCGGACACCCGTGCGAAGGACGTACGGGCAGCGAGCAGTACTCAGTGACCCTGTACTTTGAGCGTACCACTCACGAAGCTGCTGGGGCGAAAGAGCCTCGCGGGGACGACGCTGCAGCTGCACCCGGCCACTACTAGAAGCTGCCGAACTACCCACTCCAGGGCTACTCCCACTACGGCCACCCCGACAACCCCAACTAGCGTACCACTCACGAAGCTGCTGGGGCGTGAGGGACTCGCGCGGACGACGCTGCAGCTGCATCCCGCCACCGCCAGGAGCAGGAGTAGCAGGAGTAGCCGCAGTAGCAGCAGTAGCAGCAGTAGAAGTAGTAGCCGCAGCAGTAGCAGTAGCAGCAGTGGCAGTAGTAGTAGCGCGGCCACCCCTACAACCCCAACTAGCGTACCACGCACGAAGCTGCTGGGGCGTGAGGGACTCACGCGGACGGCGCTGGAGCTGCATCTGGCCACGCCAGGAGCAGCAGTAGCAGTAGAAAGAGCAGTAGCAGCAGGAGCAGCAGTAACAGCAGTAGTAGCAATAGCAGCGCGGGCAGGGCAGTGCTCACCAGTGGCGAGAAGGGCAGGCGTACGACGGCGGCAACGGCGGGGCCGCTACCACTGCAGGGCGAGGGCTCCGCGGCAGCTGCTGAAGGGCGGGGTCGCGACTGCGGCAGGGAGCTCCGCGGCAGCTGCTGCAGGGCGGGGCCAGGCCGCGACGGCCGCTGCTGTAGGGCGGGGCAGGGCCGCGACGGCAAGGTCGGGGCAGGGCCGGGGCTGGGCCGGGGCAGGGCCGCGACAGGGCCGGGACAGGGCCGCGACAGGGCCGGGGCAGGGCCGCGACAGGGCCGGGGCAGCGCCGTGACAGGGCCGCGACGTGGCGGCGTCGGGCGACGGGGCAGGGCCGCGACAGGGGGCCGCGACGGGGGGCCGCGACGGGGGGCCGCGACGGGGGGGGCCGCGACGGGGGGCCGCGACGGGAGGCCGCGACGGGGGGGGGCCGCGACGTGGGGCCGCGACGGGGGGGCGCGACGGGGGGGGCGCGACGGGGGGGCCGCGACGGGGGGCCGCGACGGGGGGCCGCGACGGGGGGCCGCGACGTGGGGCCGCGACGGGGGGCCACGAGGGGGGGCCGCGACTGGGGGCCGCGACGGGGGGGCCGCGACGGGGGGCCGCGACGGGGGGCCGCGACGGGCAGGGGCGACGCCCAGGGGGCGTCGCGACGAGCAGGGTTTAGGGCGGCGCGCGGGCTGCAGAGGCAGCTCCCATGGGCTGCAGAGGCAGGCACGTCTGCAGGGGCAGCGCCCACGGGCTGCCGGGGCAGGCACGGCTGCAGAGGCAGCGCCCACGGGCTGCAGGGGCAGGCACGGCTGCTCGGGAGGGCGGCGCGCGGGCTGCAGAGGCAGCTCCCACGGGCTGCAGAGGCAGGCACGGCTGCAGGGGCAGGCACGTTCGCAGGGGCAGCACGCGGGCTGCAAGGGCAGCGCGGCTGCAGGGGCAGCTAAAAAAAAAAATCAATTAGCGCAGGGCGGAACGTTCGATGGGCCCTAGGAACGATTCTGCTCTAATACCATGTGAGAATAAGAACGAGGAATGAATGAACTAGGAAAGTGTTGGGTACAAATATGAAACCCTAGAAACCTGTACCCCTTAGTGTTTACCCCACTATAGCCTACACAGGCTCAGTCATATATATCTGACATATCAGAGCCTATGATCTTCTCTCGGACCGCACCCACACCTTCACTTCCTCACTATCAATTTTTTTTGGGGGGGTATACGTCTCTCAGCGATCAAGCACCGCCGCTCGAAGTGCTCTCTCGTAAGCACGCACGGCCACGACAGAGGCTCTCGCAGAGCTTGCCCGACACCCCTGCCATGGCCGAACTCAACGTCGCGACACTGACACAGGAGCAATTAGATCGGCTCATGCGTCAACTCGAAGAATCGGCGCTTGAAATCGCCACACTCACGGCGGAACGCGACTCCGCTCGCCAACAATCGACAGTGAATACACCACCGCCAACACACACACCTGCACATTCGGAGGAGCCGATTGTCATCTCCTCCGGCACACCGACACAGAATGACAGCGTGGGACAACGCTCAGGCGCAGCCAGTGAAGGCGCCGCTCACTCGATGCCAGGCATGGAGAGGAACAGGACTGCACCAAGCCCACGAGAGCCCCGCGAATCCCGTCGACACGTGGAATTTGCGGCGACAAGTGGCGAATACGCCGTCACGGAAAAAGCATGGCACCCCCCGACGAACATCACGGAACTGCAGAGTTTTTTGGGTTTTGTTAATTACGTGCGCCGGTTCGTCCCCAACATGGCACGCTTAACGGCCCCGCTTACGGATTTGCTGAGGAAGGGGGTCGCTTTTACGTGGGGGGAGAAAGAGCATGCTGCCTTCTCCACCCTAAAAAATGTTCTCTGTTCACCGCCGGTACTGCGCATCGCCGACCCACATCGCCCATTCGAAGTGGTTACTGATGCAAGCGATATCGCCATCGGAGCCGTACTGCTCCAGGACTTTGGCAACGGGTTACAGCCCATCGCCTACGAATCACGAAAACTGCATCCGCCCGAGAAGAATTATCCGATACACGATCGCGAAATGCTTGCGATCGTGCATGCGTTCAAAGTGTGGCGCTGTTACTTGACCGGCGCCGACGTGACAGTACGGACAGATCACAAGTCACTACAGTACCTCCGCACACAACCCCACCTCAACCCACGACAAATCCGCTGGCTCGACTACCTCGAGTCGAATTTTCACTACACGGTTACCTACAAAAAAGGGGCTTCGAACATCGCCGATGCATTAACCCGACCCACAGCCCAAGTTCACGCCATACTACTCGCTCAGACCAGCCCACTGTTAACAGGCCTATTTACCCACGGTTACCAAACTGATCCATTTTTTACAGACGGAAACTCGCAGCAGTTTGCAGCAGCAAGGGGAGTCTATTACGTAAAAGCCGGCACTGATCGCATCTGGGTACCGGGCTACACACTCCTACGGGAATTACTGTTGCAGGAGGCACACGACGGAGTTACCTCAGGGCATTTCGGAGTAGAGAAAACACGGCAGCAGCTGCAACGGTACTACTACTGGCCCGAAATGTTGACCGACGTGCAACGACACGTGGCATCGTGTCCCACCTGCCAGGTCATGAAATCATCACGAAAACGGCCGGCAGGACAATTGCAGCCGATACCACCCCCAGAGCGTACTTGGCAGCAGGTGACGATGGACTTCGTCACGGGGTTACCGGCGGGTGCAAGTGGGAACGACGCGATCCTGGTCGTCGTCGATCGACTGACGAAAATGGCACATTTCGCAGCATGCAAGAAATCAATCACAGCCGAAGAAACGGCCCGCCTCTTCATCACAACCGTTGTTCGATTACACGGGATACCAGCAGCGATAATCAGCGACCGAGATACGAAGTTTACCAGCAATTTCTGGCGGAACCTGTGGCAGCAGTTCGGCACGAGGTTGCAGTTCAGTTCTTCATACCACCCCGAAACCGACGGACAGACAGAACGGACAAATCAGACCATGGAACAGTTAATCCGGGCCACGTGCGACGACCCCACCACCTGGGAACAGCAACTTCCACTAATCGAGTTCGCGTACAACAACTCGCCATCCGCCACGACCCAACAGTCGCCATTTTACCTGAACTACGGACAAGACCCTACAGTACCCATGACCCCGAATCCCGACAACCCGGTGCCACGAGCGCAACAGTTCGCAGAAATTTTACAGGAAGCTCGGACCAGGGCAGCAGACGCAATTAAAAAGGCGAACGTTATCGCTAAGCGCAACGCCGACCGACACCGCCGACCAGTCACGTACCAACCCGACGACTTAATACTACTCGACACTCAAAACCTCCGCCTGCCCATAACTCCGAAACTCCGCCCCCGATATTGTGGGCCATTCCACATCAGTCACATGGTCACACCGGTCACCGCCCACCTCCTCCTCCCCGCTGACTGGTACGCCAGCCCCTCCTTCCACGTCAGCCTGCTTCGCCCCTACATCTCATCCACCAGCCAACTGGCCCGACATCGCCCAACCAGCATGATCAGACCACCGACCGAGCCAGTCATCATGCCCGAAAAGATTCTGAGCCACCGAGTTCGTGACCCACGAGGAGCACGAAAGGTCGAATTTTTAATGCGCTGGAGAGACCGCACACCCACTGAGGACAACTGGGTTCCCTTGGACAAAATCGAAAACCACCCCGTCCTCACCGACTACTTGCGCAGCAGAAATTTCCGGGATATACACGCGCTCTCGTAAAAATGACCTCCTTAAGGGGGGGGGGTAGTGTAAGGAAAATTCCTTTTCCTTACTTCGCGTCCCTGTTCAGCGCGTACAACACTGACAGCACCCCACAATATCCCGTTACCACTCGCGACATTCGCCCCGACACCATTCCCGCCACTGTTCACGATGCGACCCAACCACACGGTCCGGTTGGTAACCCGCGCTCCGGACCTCCGCCTCGACAGTTCCCCAAACCTCGGCACCAGGCCCGTCGCGCACCCCATTTTCCCACGTTACCGTTACCACCATAGTTTCACTATATATTCTTCGCTCATTCCTTCGCTCATTCCTTCGCTCATTCCTTCGCTCATTGTATCTTGTCTCGATAGTGCAATCCTCGCTCGCTCACTCAATTGCACTCGTAACACCCTTTCACACCTGCCAATTCGAATTCGATGCTGTCACTTCTTGGTTCTTGGTTCTTTGGTTCTTGATAGTATACTATGCCCTTTCCTCTCCCCACCCAAGGTGCTTCTCCCTCCGAACCCACCCATTCCCAAACCTGCAGTCGCGACTTGCCTACCATCTGAACCAAACACCTTGCCGCCGCCACTCTCTCCCACCCAGCCGTCGCCTCTCCTCCCATCCCTATATCCTCTCCCTTACTCCGCCCCGTCGCCTCTCCCTCTCACCCCGTCGTCGCCGCTCCCTCCCATCCCGCCATCGCCCCTCTCTCGCTCCCAGCCGCGGTCGCCTCTCCCTCCTCCCCGCGGTCGCCTCTCCCTCCTCCCCGCCGTCGCCTCTCCCTCCTCCCCGCCGTCGCCTCTCCCTCCTCCCCGCCGTCGCCTCTCCCTCCTCCCCGCGGTCGCCTCTCCCTCCTCCCCGCGGTCGCCTCTCCCTCCTCCCCGCGGCCGCCTCTCCCTCCTCCCCGCCGTCGCCTCTCCCTCCTCCCCGCGGTCGCCTCTCCCTCCTCCCCGCGGTCGCCTCTCCCTCCTCCCCGCGGTCGCCTCTCCCTCCTCCCCGCGGTCGCCTCTCCCTCCTCCCCGCCGTCGCCTCTCCCTCCTCCCCGCCGTCGCCTCTCCCTCCTCCCCGCCGTCGCCTCTCCCTCCTCTCCGCCGTCGCCTCTCCCTCCTCTCCGCCGTCGCCTCTCCCTCCTCCCCGCCGTCGCCTCTCCTTCCCTCCCCGCCGTCGCCTCCGGCGACAGGTGCACGAGCGCAAGCGCGGGTTGGTGCGCCAGCGCGGGTTGTTTTCTGAGGCACCGTTGTTATCAGGTGCGTTCCCGGTCCTTTCATCTACCCTTTCCCCTCTGATTTTCTCTCTCTTTCTTTTTTGCTTCTTCGTAATTTTTGTGTATTAATTGGTCTCTTCTTGCATTGCACTTTCATTTGAAGAAGGGAAGAGACGGAGCGAGAGGGAGAGCGTGTGCACGGGAGCGAACGCGTGAGAGAGCGCGTGAGAGAGCGCGTGAGAGAGCGCATGAGAGAGCGCGTGAGGGAGCGCGTGAGGGAGCGCGTGAGGGAGCGCTTGAGAGAGCGCGTGAGAGAGCGCGTGAGTGTGCGCGTGAGTGACGGCGTGAGTGTGCGCGTGAGAGTGCGCGTGAGAGAGCGCGTGAGGGAGCGCGTGAGAGATTGCGTGAGGGAGTGCGTGAGGGAGCGCGTGAGGGAGCGCTTGAGAGAGCGTGTGAGAGAGCGCATGAGAGAGCGCGTGAGGGAGCGCGTAAGGGAGCGAGTGAAGGAGCGCTTGAGAGAGCGAGTGAGAGAGCGCGTGCGAGAGCGTGTGAGAGAGGGCGTGCGAGAGCGCGAGAGTGCGCGTGAGAGAGCGCGTGAGAGAGCGCGTGAGAGGGCGCGTGAGAGAGCGCATGAGAGGTCGCGTGAGAGAGCGCGTGAGAGAGCGCGTGAGAGAGCGCGTGAGAGAGCGCGTGAGAGAGCGCGTGAGAGCGCGCGTGAGTGAGGGCGTGAGTGTGCGCGTGAGAGTGCGCGTGAGAGAGCGCATGAGAGAGCGCGTGAGGGAGCGCGTGAGAGATTGCGTGAGGGAGCGCGTGAGGGAGCGCGTGAGGGAGCGCTTGAGAGAGCGCGTGAAAGAGCGCGTGAGAAAGCGCGTGAGAGTGTGTATGAGAGTGCGCGTGAGGGAGTGCTTGAGAGAGCGTGTGAGAGAGCGCGTGAGAGAGCGCGTGCGAGAGCGCGTGAGGGAGCGCTTGAGAGAGCGCGTGAGAGAGCGCGTGAGGGAGCGCTTGAGAGAGCGCGTGAGAGAGCGCGTGAGAGAGCGCGTGCGAGAGCGCGTGAGTGTGCGTGTGCGAGAGCGCGTGAGAGAGCGCGTGAGAGAGCGCGTGAGAGAGTGCGTGAGAGTGCGCGTGAGAGTGCGCATGGGAGACGCGTGGGAGTGCACGTTAGAGAGCGCGTGAGGGTGTGTGCGAGAAAGCGCGTGAGAGTGCGTGTGAGAGAGCGCATGAGAGAGCGCGTGAGTGTGCGTGAGTGTGCGTGAGAGAGCGTGTGAGGGAGCGCGTGCGAGAGTGCGTTAGAGGCGCGGGAGTGAGCGCGTGAGAATGGGCATGGGAGATGCGTGAGAGTGCGCGTTAGAGAGCGCGTGAGAGTGCACGTGAGAGTGCGCGTGAGAGTGTGCGTGAGAGAGCGCGTGAGAGAGCGCATGAGTGAGGGCGTGAGTGTGCGCGTGTGAGTGCGCATGAGGGTGCGTGTGAGAGCGCGTGAGAGAGTGCACGAGGGAGCGCGTGAGGGAGCGCATGAGGGAGCGCGTGAGAGAACGCGTGAGAGAGCGTGTGAGAGAGCGCGTGAGAGAGCGCGTGAGAGAGCGTGTGAGAGAGCGCGTGAGAGAGCGCGTGTGAGAGCGCGTGAGAGAGCGCATGAGAGTGCGCATGGGAGACGCGTGAGAGTGCGTGTTAGAGAGCGTGTGAGAGAGCGCGTGAGAGCGCGCGTGAGAGTGCGTGTGAGGGAGTGCGTGAGAGAGCGCGTGAAAGAGCGCGGGAGAGAGCGCGTAAGAGAGCGCGTGAGAGAGCGCGTGAGAGTGCACGTGAGAGTGCGCGTGAGAGTGCGCGTGAGAGTGCACGTGAAAGTGCGCGTGAGAGTGTGCGTGCGAGTGCGCGCGAGAGAGCGAGGGAGAGCGCGCGAGAGAGTTTGCGTGAGAGAGCGTGTGAGAGGGCGCGTGAGAGTGCACGTGAGAGTACGCGTGAGAGTGTGCGTGAGAGAGCGCATGAGAGAGCGAGTGAGAGAGCGTGAGGATGAGTGGGTATGCGTGCAAGGGTGAGAGCGAGAGTGCGTGCGACTGTGTGTGCTAAGGTGAGTGCGAAAGCAAGTGCGAGTGTTAGTGCAAGGTTGCATGTGAATGTGTTTGCGTGTGCCTGTATGTTGGTGTGAGAGTGTTATTGTGAATGAGAACGATCAGAAGTGCGAGGGTTTGTGCAAATATGAGTGTGTACATTTGTATGTTTGTAAAAAAAATGAGAGTGTTTGAGCGTATGTGTGGGTGCGAGATTGAGTACAAGAATGAGGATGAAGCTGAACGCGAGGGTGGCTGCAAGGTATTGCATCATCCCGGCGAACTGTGGCACCACGACTGATACCAATTTCCATTGCTCGTCTTTGATTGATCTATACGTTTTCTATTGTTCTTATTTCGTTTCTAGTGCATGTGTGAGCTGCATTCTCTGTTTTTGTTTTCTTGTGCAATGCTGTGAGGTGTACTCTTTGGCTTTGCTTTCTACGGGTGAGTTGCGTTGCCTACTTGGCCCCCTCGCAGGGCACGTTAGTTACAGTATATTTGTTATTGCTTTTCTGCACAGAGTGTGTGATCATTCTCTGTATTTTCCCTTTTCTTGTGCAGGGTGTGGAAATTTATTTTCTGTTTTTGCTTTGTGCAGGGCGCGTGAGCTGCATTCTCTGATTTTGTTTGGCAGAGAAGGGAGATGAGGGAGGGGGTGGGAGGGAGATGAGGGAGGGAGGGAAGGAGGGGTGTAGGGAAGGTAAAGAAGAGGGGATAGGCTAGCGATGATTTATGAATGGTAACTGGATTCAATTCGTGATGGTTGCGTGTTTATTACCGGTATCTGTATGCATCTGTGTGTGTGTGTGTGTGTGTGTGTGTGTGTGTGTGTGTGTGTGTATGTGTGTGTGTATGTGTGTGTGTATGTGTGTGTGTGTGTTGGGTGTGTGTGCTTGTGTCTGTGTCAGTTGGTTGGTAAAGAAAAGGGGATAGGCTAGCGATGATTTATGAATGGTAACTGGATTCAATTCGTGATGGTTGCGTGTTTATTACCGGTATCTGTATGCATCTGTGTGTGTGTGTGTGTGTGTGTGTGTGTGTGTGTGTGTGTGTGTGTGTGTGTGTGTATGTGTGTGTGTATGTGTGTGTGTGTATGTGTGTGTGTGTGTTGGGTGTGTGTGCTTGTGTCTGTGTCAGTTGGTTGGTTGTGATTATTTCAGGGTGTGGTGCTGGTATGCATCGTGTTTGCAGCTGAGGTTGTCATCGTCGTTGGGGCAGTGGGTTTTACTGTCTCAACGACCCCATCAATCCCAGTTGTAGCATTGCTGCCTATTAAGCATCCATTTTGATGTCGTCAATTTTTTTCGTGACGTTTGCATTCGTGTTTGTGAGATGTGTGTGTTTCAAGACGAGGTGTTCCAATGTATCGTATTGAGAAAGCTTGCTTTCTGTTCTTGCAAAGACATCGTGCTTCATTACAATTGGGTAATTACTGTTCATCACTTTAAAAAAATTTCATATTGAGAAAGCTTGCTTTTTGTTCTTGCAAAGACATCGTGCTTCATTACAATGGCGTAGTTGGTTTGATTCGAACGCTGAGTCCAGCGGATGTGGGATCGACTCTTGCGAGAGGATTGTCGAGCTTCTTTCACCCACGTCTTCATTTGGAACTTGCAGTTCCACTCCATTCTCGTCCAACTACCCAGGTGACCTTTCTCTCTCGATTTCTGTTGACATTAGAACCTCGCATAGTAGGCACTAATTTCTGATAAGTTGTTTTAGTTATTTATCAAGTTTAAGCCACGCGATTTCACGTCGACGGCGAGAGTTGCGACTACACCCGCGGGCAAGAAATCGGCGCCAAACCCGCATCAAATGAGCGCGCGACCCTGGGCGAACGCGCCACCAGCGAGCCTTAGGCGAACTCGCCCCTGGCGCACCTGGCGACACCATCGTCAGTCGCGCGACTGACGCAAGCGCCAGGCTCGCTGCTGACGCAATCGCCAGGGGCGCGGCTGACGCAATCGCCAGGGGCGCGACTGACGCAATCGCCAGTGGCGCGGCTGACGCAATCGCCAGGGGCGCGACTGACGCAATCGCCAGTGGCGCTACTGACGCAAACGCCAGAGGCCCGCTTTTGATCCTGCATTAACTGGTTCGACACCAGCATTGCCACGCAGCTAACTCCTTCTACTATCTCAAGCTAACTTGTTATTTGTTGCAATTTGGATTCTCTTCCTGTTCATTCGATAATTCTTTTATTCAATAATTCCTCAGCCTTCAATTTTTCCTGGTGCAAGGCATAATTATTGGCAGGAGGCCAAGCATAACAAACTGGGGCAACGACGGCTACATCAACTCTTGGTGCACCCGCGCATGGTCCTTCACTTGAGAAAGGGGACCGAGGGTCCCGTGCTGGCCAGAGGGCCGTTCCCCAAGGGGGGAGAGGGACCGAGGGTCCCGTGCTGGCCAGAGGGCCGTTCCCCAAGAGGGGAGAGGGACCGAGGGTCCCGTGCTGGCCAGAGGGCCGTTCCCCAAGGGGGGAGAGGGACCGAGGGTCCTGTGCTGGCCAGAGGGCCGTTCCCCAAGGGGGGAGAGGGACCGAGGGTCCCGTGCTGGCCAGAGGGCCGTTCCCCAAGAGGGGAGAGGGACCGAGGGTCCCGTGCTGGCCAGAGGGCCGTTCCCCAAGGGGGGAGAGGGACCGGGGGTCCCGTGCTGGCCAGAGGGCCGTTCCCCAAGGGGGGAAGGGGACCGAGGGTCCCGTGCTGGCCAGCGGGCCCATCGTCGCCCTGTGGAAGGTGGACAGTTCGGGTTGATATCGTTACAACATACGGCACATTGTTGTGGAGGTGTACAGTATCATATGGATATAGATTGTATAATGTTATATTGCCATATCATTTAAAAATGAGAAATTTGTCATAGATATCCCCTTTCATATGAGCCAACGACGCCAACAACTACGAGCAGGGGCGCCCATATTAAGAGAACAAGCAACTTGCACGAACAACGGTCCTAATCCTTTCAATATCACACCAAGTTGGTGCCACCAACGCAACGCCACCTCTCTGCACTTTGACAACTTTGTCAGGCGCAGCCGCACTCAGCAAGTCTTCAACGCCCCCAACTGCACATGTCTCAGAAGACCCAATTGTAATGAAGCACGATGTCTTTGCAAGAATAGAAAGCAAGCTTTCTCAATATGAAATTTTTTGAAAGTGTAATTGTAATTAGCGAATTGTACTCGGCGAATTGTAATTCGCCGTTGCCTTGCTGCGATACAGTCAGCTGCGCTTTCACAATACACATTTTTAGAAAGTGTTACACACTTTCAAAAAATTTCATGTATGCAACTAGAGGTTGTCATCGTCGTTGGTGCAGCGTGTATTCGTTGTTTCAACGGCCCCACCAATCTCTATTGCTACCGTATCACCCCGGATAGAAGCGCAGGCCTATTATAAGCGCATGCGCTTCTATCTGGAGCAATGCGCTTATGGCAGATCCTCAATTATAAGCGCAACCCCTGTGAAAACGTTACTTATTATAAGCGCATGTACAAATTTAAATTAAAATTTCTGTTCGAAACGGTAGCGAGTTTCATCTTTGAAGCGAGTCCAATCTCATTTTCGCTGAGTTTGACTCTTGAAGACCTGACTGGCTGCGCGTCCAGTCAGGATGTGCTGGCATGACTGCAAAGTGTCGCATCTTGGCCCCTGTGTGCTGGAAGAGAATCGCTTGCAGGAGATTCTGCATTGTGACGCGAAATTTTTCGACTCGGTTGAAATGGCAAGAGTGAAACATACAATTCGGTGTCTTAATTTTATAAATTCGTATATGTCATTATATAAGCGCATGCGCTTATAAAAATGACCCGATTAGAAGCGCACCCCCTAAAAAACTCTGCTTTATTATAAGCGCAGGTGCGCTTCTATCCGGGGTAATACGGTACATTGTGTCAGAACATTATATAGCTTATGCTGTTGTGTAGGCTATAGTGGGGTATCCCATAGGGGGTACAACCTAATTAGGGTTTTCCATATGTACTCACCTCATTCATAGTTCATTCATCCTGGTTCTTCATTCTTCTCATGGTATCGAGCAGGTTCCCTCGTGGGAACTGTTCCTAGGGCCCACCGTTTTTTTTTTTCCTG